TTCATGAAGAAAAAGGAACCGCTTCTTCATACACAACAATGCATGTTTCTGAAATTCTCCTCCTAGTGTTAAAAATTCGACAAATCCCGGGTCGAGCCTCTATATCTTAGATGTTTTACACAAACATTGCCTGATACAATTTCGCCACTTTTACTGACTAAGCAGCTGTAAAATCGTGACTATTCTGTTTCTGGAAACAACAGTTGTCTTGATATTATTGACACCTTAGACTTAGTGATACTACTATGCATTTTTAATACATTTATTATTGATCCCTATCTTCAAGTGGCGCTAAAGGCAGAGTAGTCATGTATACTACTTATACTCTCTGGAATGAAATCGTCCTCCACCCCCATAAGGTTGACAGATATTACTACGAACAAAAAATGGTCCTATTAAATTTGACAGGGTTTGATGGACTGGTAGCTGAAGGTACCCATGTGGTCATTTTGAACGGTTTCTGTAGAATGTCACACATACTCACCTCGCGACATTTCACTCAGTTCATTGCACTTAGTTTTATCAAACCTCAATCTAGTGTACTGTGAGGTCTATTTCACATCATATTCCAAACAAAACGACTTTCTGAAGATCGTCAGAAAACAAAACACTCCAGATAAAATCGCTTCTTGAAGGTCGTTCCATGTTCCAGAGATGCCCTCTATAACAGTTCAGGAAGATAAAAAAATATTTAGCAGAACTAACAATTATCACTCCCATTAAAACGATAATATAGTATTCCTTACACAGATTGTATCAAACGTTTAACAACAAAAGTGTAAAACCTCTTGCAACGTTCAATTTTTGTCAACTACACAACAATTCTGTTATACGATTCTATTTTATTTACCAAACTATTATTTACGTATTGCATACGCGATGCGAAGAAAGTTTTCAAACTAACACTTGACATTTATCTTGTTTACTGACGTTTGTGCACTTCATACACATGGATATGATACGCTTCTTGACTACCATATGGGGTTGTTGATTGACCTATGCAGTAAATTTTACTGCGATTATCGTACGAAGTAGTAAAGTGGTCCTACTTTGCTCCAATATTTGCTCCAAACTTAGGATACTCGGAATATTTTTTAAGTTATGAATTACTAGATATAAGCACATACCATCGTAAACAAATAAACGTGTTAACTAATGCATTCTATATGTAAGTCATCGTCAGAGGTACTACGTAGCTTACTTGCACACTCAACGATTTTGGACGGCCGGTAAAATATCTAGGCTCTGCTTACACACGGCGACTGTTTTTTACCGGTGCAGTGCTGATTTCCAATATTATTTTGAATGAATCCCCAACGAGTTGTTGCAATTTGGTTACTGTACCTGCGTACAAAGCGTCGTAGAATTAAGCGAAGCTTCTGGATTAATTTTTCTCTTTGGACTCCATTTCTTTAAAATCCTCATTCAGTTCGCAGCAAACTTGGCTCCTTGCTTCTCTAGTAGCGTTTCTGCCTTTAAAAATGTCCAAAGTTTTATCCCATAAAACTGGTCTTGCTTTCATGACAGGTTTTACAACCACATCTTCTTTCCTTTTTGGAAACATAGCAAGATCCACTTTTTCAGAAGGGCAATGCACGACCTCATGTCGCACGTGTTTAGACTTTTTAGAAGCATCCGGGGTAAGTTTGCTTTAGTGGCCTCCTCGATACGCCGACCTTTCCCCCATCGAACATGTATGGGACAGAAGGTTGCAAGATTCACTGCACCCTCCACATACATTGGAGGCTCTACGAAACCAAATTCAAACGACCTGGGATGCAATACACCAAGAAGACATCAATCACCTAATCCAATCAATGTCGCGTCGACTCAACGAATGTGTAGCGAACAGAGGAGATTCAACACATTATTAACATAAAGGTGGGATATCTCAGCTATTTTGCAAAGTATACATTTAAAATTTTAATCAGCTTCTATTCATCACTTGACCTAAAACTTGTGGAAGTATGCTCAAAATTACAGCACTCCTATTCATTTTCCATGTCATTTAGTATATTTGATTTGTAGTATTTTTTCGCAATATAGCGGGTGGTTATGTTTAATCATAGTCTCTTCTATATTGTCTTCGGTTTACGAGTAGAACATTTTGGTGTTATATAGCTTGTACCAAATCTATAATTTCTATTTGAAAAGTTGGTAAAACATTTAAAACGAATATTCATGCGTTGCTTGTCGTGCAGAAGAGAAATATTCGTTATGTCATTCAACCGAAAAAGATGAATGAGGGCATGCATTTAGGTTATAGCGCAGTTGTATATCAGTATACCCATATTCCCTATTTCACGAGTATCCATCACAGTAGAATGACAGCTGGTTATCTAGTTATATTTCAATATTCCCCATATCGGCAAAGAATACTTAATACTGACGGATCCGTCAATGCCAGGTAGACAGAGCCACGTTTTGTTTTGCTTTTTTGTACGCAACAGAATCATTTTGTACTTGCTAAAAGCTCTTTTATTTAGAAAAGTTCATTTGCTTACAAAAAACAAAACGCTACGAACAATTTTTTTCTAAATTTACAGCCGATCCATTACAGCCAACGTCACTGACTAACACAAAAGTGTCACATGCTGATCAGTTTGTTCACCTCAGTAGACGTCAAGGCATGATGGATACTCGTGAAGTAGGGTATACTAAGCAACAAGTGTATGCCAAGTTCAGCAGTACTGTACTATAAAGGTTGTGACATTTTCGCAGATCTATATTGTTGTATAAAGGCTTCTGTTGGGAGCAACTTGTTGACTAAAGTAGTAATTTTGCACATCACAACAACACGGTTCGTTTTTGTTGTGTAAATGTTACCTCGGATGCCAACCATTTTGACTACCGCACTAATATGCTCTATAAAATATTCGTATAAACGTTTATGCAACAGTTCAAAATTTATCCTATAAGACTTTGCATATTTATGCCACAAGAATGTTTTATACACCTCATTTGCATTTCAGACAACATTGAGCTATCATTTTGGCATTCAGGCAACAACAAAATATAGCCTTTACAGCTTAACAGTTCTTTCACCAAAAACTTATAGCACCAACTTGCTAATTGGGTCTAACGTCATTTAGAGGTGGAATTATTAAATTCAATTAGAATCCTTTGTACTCTTACTTGGAGTCCAGTCGTCTTAAGCAGTCAATCATCGAAGTGGGATTTTGGAAGGGAGCCCCCCTGGATGCTTAAGTCTACCAATCTTTCCAACAAAGTGGTATATATTGCTGTCCTAAGTTCCCTTGCTAGACCTGAATCGTGAGAAATATCACACCCTCCACTTTCCAATTGTCACAAGTGCTTAATAATGTAGTCGTCGCTCATTTCTAATAATTGCTACTGCTTCCCCCCCTGGATGAACATCTTCCTAAACATGAATGCTGCGACGACCGCAGCAGCACCCCCCCTCCCTGTCAGGACAGATGAAATCGCCCCTGTCAATCACTAGTATGTCTGGCCGCAGCGTCTGATTGAATTAGGCGCCGTTATTTCACTTTAATATAATGGACACAATTCAGTGTATTCTAGAACCAACTTGAGAATAGTAGCTGGTCGATTGGCCTATATAGTAGTTACCGAAATGGCGGCTCTCAGTTTTGGGAATCAATTACAAATCTGTCTTCCTACAGAACAAATTATAGGCAATTTGTATTCAGAATCCCTGGATGGCAACGTCTACATGCAATCAATTATCAAATTATAATTATTCCCGGTGTGCTGGAGCTAGGGAGCTTTTCACACATGTATACATACAGTGTGATGGCAGCTACGTCATCATTGACATACGACATAAGTAAGCAAATTGCACACTAGGCAAACCGATCTTAAACGCTTGAATTGATTAGGACCATTAATTTCATTTAATGTCTCGAATATTCCAATTATTTTGGCAAAAACTTTTCGAGGTGGCGAGATGATACTGAAAAAATGGCGCCAACAAGGTAGACTCTGCACTATCCACACAATGCTGTCATCAGTTCTTAAAGGATTGACTCCGGCACAAGTCAGACTCTATCGAAATTAGACAGCGCCATTATATCCAGGATAGAGGATAAATGCTATACTTGTGTTTTTTGGCCCATAGACCAAGCCTAGACCATGCTGATGAGTTGCCAAAAAAGTACGAAACAGCTGTCCATGCTTGGTTCTGTTTGATCAGTCGAATGAAAGCCGCTGAGACAATAGTTAGTTACGAATATATATATATGTTACAGGCAAAGCCCGAAGCGCGGGCAATCCGAGGAATGACTAGTCATTTCGCGAAGTGGCCAGAATATTCGGTCAAAGTCCGAAATACTCTTGAGTTCCGGACATTAACTGCGGCTCTTTTAGTCAATCCTAGGAGTGACTGACCCACCTCGTCAAAGTCCGAAACGAAGAAACGCTCATCGGACTCTGACTAGGCGATCCTAGATGTGGCGAAAATCGGACTTGGACTAAATAATGTTAATTAAATAATAAACATTTATTAACAAAATATACTTCTCATATAGGCACACAAAATAAAAACTCTGTTGAGCGAAACATTTCAAAATGAAATGAAATACCTATCTTAAAATGTTGGATATTATTTTTAATCATTAATAAACTAAAATGTATTTTTTTAATATTAACATAAAAAAAGAAAATTGGCTGAGTTCAACAACGATACAATAGTGCAATAAAATATTAGCAGGTATATAGGTACCTACCTATACCTAAGTAAACTGAGCACACATTTATTTGTTTTGGCAATCATTAGATTTATGGCACTTAGAATTGCATAAAACTTTTGACCTTTTACATTTACACAAATTAGAAATGCATCGTTTACTGCAATCGCATTTAAGAAAACCCTGACCGCCAAATTTGGAATCTTTGCCACTAATTTCTCTTAAAGATAATTTAACATTAGGCACTTCATGAAGACTAAGCAAACGTTCCTTACATTCTTGAATTTGATTTCTGGAAAACAACGTATTAATCGTTCCATGTCTAGTACCTACTTTATAGAACCCGTCCTCAGTTTTCTCTGTTACAACACAAAGCAAATTTCGAGCATCACCTTTAGCCCTATCAACAGAAGGAATTGGTACCGTAACAGTGTTTCCCACTTCAACCGCAGGAAACTTTTGATTTGACAATTTTTTCATAGTATCCGCTTGAGCTTGAAGACCATCAATTGCCTTTTCTTTATTTGCAGACATACATTCTTTTTGCGCACACCTCGGACACGTTACTTTACTTCCAAAACCCTCTTCAGTTTCTAAAGTATTGTCTGCGCAAATCGCGTGGATAATTTGTCCACAGATGCAACAGGTATGTGCACCAGAACTTTCCTCTTGACAAACGCAGCATACATTCGTACCTGTGTGAAAGTCTTTATTAAAATTAGACGAGAAATAGGTTGTCAGGGGAAATGGAAGGTAACTTTACGCAATTCAATAATTATGTGCAGAAGATGTCACTGTTACTGCATCAATTCTTACTCCAATTTCCAATTTCCCCTATTTATGCTAATTTCAGTGTACTAATACCTACCGGTAGGTTCAGAATCTTGTTCCATTAGAACGCCTTCATTTCCTTGAAGCGTCGTTTCTAAAATAGCCCCGTCGCCGTCAGATGGGATCAGGGCATTTTCAAGATCTTCCTCAGTTCGAAGAAGCTTCTTTATTGTATCCGGGAGGGTCTGAATCCCAACATGAGCTTTTCTCCCTGCAACAAGTTAAAAATATGATTTCTTTTCTCATTCCCATAGCCCTTATTTTACATACCAAACATGACTTCAAATGGAGTTTGTTTGATTCCTGTGTGAAAAGCGTTATTTTTCTGAAGTTGGCAGAATTTCAGGCCTTCACTCCATCTGTTGGTCTTGTTGTCTTCCATCCATGCAAACAAAATTTTCTGGACTTCTTGGTTAGCCCTTTCGACGCTACCTTGACTCTCCGAATGGCGGGGTTTTCCATGTACAATAGTCAGTTGAGGCCATAAGGTTTTTAATTCTTCAATTATTCGGTTGGCGAATTCTCGGCCATTATCTGACTGAAGCACAGACGGGGCGCCGAAGGCACAAAAAATGTCTAACAGATTGTAGGCAACTTCTTCTGCGGTCTTGGTTTTTAAGGGACGCAAAATTACGAATTTACTTAAGTGATCCTGATAGTTCATTATAAATTTGAAGTCACCGTCACGGCACGTTTGCATGTCGATCAGATCAACTTGTGCCCGCGCTTGTATTTCCTTAAAAAGCAATGGTTTTACAACCAAACCCCGTTTGGGATGTTTTTTCTTCTTTTGACACGTTTTACATAGGTCTAAATAGATCGAGATACACTCTTTCGTAACATTTGCGTATTTATTTTTCAGCACCTTTATCGTTTGATCCCTACCGCCATGACCACATTCACGGTGAGCTGTGTGTATTACGTCGAACAGTTCCTTGTCTGTGATGTAGAATTTAACGTTTGGGTCGTCTAACACGGGTGTGATCAATTTCTTCACATTTCCAACGTGCCAAATATCATACCTTCTTAATCGTCGGTATTGCAGTGACGTTTTCGTCTTAGCGGCCTTAGCAGTTTCCACTTCAGCAATCAACTCGTCATATTTCTCTTGCGTTTCGATATGGAACGAACCCGACGATCTCTGTACACTACGCACTCTTTCCATAAATTTCACCTTCACTTCATCGAAGTTGTCTTCCTCAACGGTCCCGACAGTTGTCTCACTCATTTTAAATGCAACACAGAAATAAGGTTAGGAACATGTCATCTATAGCAGTGCTTGTGCTCAACTGAATGCGCAACAGTCAGAGTCCGATCTTCGCCCCATCTAGGATTGCCTAGTCAAAGTCCGGAGAGCGTTTCTTCGTTTCGGACTTTGACGAGGTGGGTCAGTCACTCCTAGGATTGACTAAAAGAGCCGCAGTTAATGTCCGGAACTCAAGAGTATTTCGGACTTTGACCGAATATTCTGGCCACTTCGCGAAATGACTAGTCATTCCTAGGATTGCCCGCGCTTCGGGCTTTGCCTGTAACATATATATATATATATATATATATAAAACAAAAAAATTAAACGAATCAAGTTTGTCAAACTGGTCCATATAATTAGTCCATAGACAATATAGACATCCCTTCCTTGCCCTACCCGTAGTATCGCCCATCTGGAAACGTCGCCTCTCCCCATACAACAATACGTAGACTATTCGCAGGGCGATGAACCCAGACAGCAAATGCAGGGACTCGTGACGAAAACGTTTCTCCATCGTTTCAAGTTTCAAGTGCAAAAGTATATCAATATACTAAAATAAAAAAATATGATGTCAGTATTTGCTAACCCTGAAAAAAATATTTTTTCTCTACAGCCACCGGACCGATTTTAAAAAAACGCTACAAAGCTGTTTTGTTTATCGTCTATCTTTCATGATTGTAGTCTTTTTTCATATTTGTAGTCTTGTATGAAAATTTCATCCACATCCGAGCAGAACTTTCCAAGTTAAAGACCCGCCAAAGATTAACGGAGAGACAAACCGACGGAAAAGAGTGATATGGTTTTTCGTAATGTACATTTCATATAACATCCAAAAAACATGAAAAGTCATTTCCAAAACTTTTCGCGATTATAATACGTCCTCGCCCGTGGGCGTGGAAGGTAAAACGTAGATCTTTGAGTTTATACAAACAAACGTTCGCTCACAGAGCCCGATTGTATAATTTATGTGCGACGAACGTTTAATGTATGTAAAAGCAATTCCTGTATGTTTCACTGTGACGCGCCTAAAACCGTAAAAAGACCTACATGCTTTATCCGACCACCTTACCTAATTAGAAAGTCCACCACACTTGGATGAATTACAATTTAATAAATATTATATTGCATATACAGGGTGTTCCGTAATTAGATAGCAATCCCTTTGCTACAAATAGAAAACAAACAATAACGTCACAGATATGTATGTATATGTATTTGTATACAGGGTGCAAAGTTAGTAGTAGATCAACGGAAGTCAGGTGATAGAGGACTTGAAAAAATATCGAATGAACCCTTATATGTATGGTCCGAAATTTTGTAGTTCAGGAGATATTTGCAATTTTGTGAAATTTTGAGAAACGTGATAATGAACTTTCAATCGCAATTACAGCTAAACCGTTAGGTTTTGGGCTGTGATTTTTTTTTTGAAATGAGATAAATGGCTAGTTTTAGCAATAGTTATCTTACTTTTTAGCAGAGGTAATTAGAAAACGACGCAAAAAATCTTAAATTATTTTTTTTGTGAAAAATCTCTGCCATCCTTCAACTTTGGAGAGCGGTAAAAAAAAATTGAGGTTATATTTCATTAGTCATTTTATTGTAAAAACTATTTCAATCTATGTAGTTAAATACTGAAAATTTCAGCTTGCTACGATAAATGCCTCGCCTTAAAAAATCTGTATATTTTTGACGCAGGTGGGTATCCATACATGTAAGCAAGAAATTCTATGGTATTTTACGAGCTACAATTTGTATCGAACGTTTGGCACCTGAGTAGAATCATGTCATATTCTTCGCGAGATTATGCAGACATGCCTTACTATTATGGTGCTGCCCTAGGAAATGCTCGAGCAGCTGCTCGCATGTATCGGCAGTATGTGGTTAGAACAGGGGACCACAACCGGCAGTATGGTTCGAACGCTCTTAGTATATGACCGCTACGTCATCGTGGGCGGGTCCGCTCATCACGCGGTCGTCGACAGAGCGCAGTGGCGTTCTATTTTATTTGAAGTATAAAATAAAGTGAATAGGTTGTGTAGACATTGATCATTAATTGATTTTTGTATTATTATATTCATTTAGTATGCGCATTAAGTTGTTCGGAAGCAAATTTGAATTAGAAGAGGGAGCAAACTAAAGACGGTTATAATTCAAATTATATATTATCATTAAAAAATCTAATCGCTATCAGATGATAGTGTGTTTAGCTTCAAATCTTCATCTGAGTCGCTTTCGTCACTATCTTCTGATGATGACTCTGTGTTCACATTGAATTGATACGTATCCATTTGATCGTCGAGAAGATGTTCTTTTTCCATTTGTGCTTGCTCATATTTTTTCACGTGGTTACAAATTTTCTTCCACTCATCTGCTCCAATTTCTTCAAACCTGCTACGGGTCAGATGCTCCACATCAGACAACCTAAATGTCACATTTCGTGGAGCAACCCAGTTTTTTACGAGAGCCCAAATCTTCTCGATTGGGTTTAGCTCCGGATGATATGGAGGCAGTCGTAAAACTGTATGCCCGTGCTGTTCCATTAAGGCATCTAGCTTGTATTTGACTGGAAATCTTCTTTTATTTTCCTGTATTTTTTTATATAGTTCGGCCTTAGTCAATGACTTTTCACTAGGAATTTGATGTTTTTCTAGCCAGTCAATCATCTCTGATTTCAGGCTAGAAGACGTTACATTTTTTTCTTCCAGGACATTGTGATAAGAAGCGTTGTCAACTACAAGCACAGAATTTTCAGGCAAATTTGGGATCAATTGGCTTTCTACCCATTTCATGAAGTTCAAATGATTCATGTCGTTGTGGTAGTCCCCAGATTTTGAGCCTGAAAATAAAATACATACATATAATCCAGTAAATGTAAAAATATATTGGAAATATTTTACATCATTGTAACACAAATAATACCTGATTTGAATATCAACAAGGCGTTAGGAATAAAGCCGAATTCTCCACCAGCATGCACAATAATCATTCGTTGTCCTTTTGATAAAGGCGTTTTTAGTTCCTTGTCATAATTGTCATCTGACCATCCTTTTTTTGGGGTATGACTAGAATGTATATATGTTTCATCCGTATAAATTATGTTCCTGTTCTCAGCTCTATATTTCATAATTTGCTTCAGATATTCGATTCGCTTCAAGCGAATTTCATATTTTTCCATGAGAGCTCTTTTATTATCAGTAGTTCTTTTCCATCTGTAGATATAAATTATATTTATAGCGTTGTAAATCGAAAACCTTATAGTGTGTATGAATACTGACCTAAAGCCCATTTGTTTCAAAAGTTTGTTCAAAGTCGTTATTTTACCCTCAAAATTAAGTTGTCGATCTTGCATTTTTTGGTAAATACCTAAAAAAATCTTAAAATAAAATATGACTAGATGCTACGGTTACAATTTTAAAACTTACATTTCAGCGAAGGTCTTCTTTTCTCCAAAATATAAAAATCGTATATGATTGCTTTGATTTCTTCAATTTGGCCTGCAGTCACTTTATCCACAACAGGTGATTTTCGTTGCCGCTTTTTAGATGGGGATGAAAATGAAAAGTTGCTTGAATATATTCCATCTCTGCTCTCTTTAGCTATTTTTTGATAAGTACA